GTCTGTGGTCATCAAAGAGATTCAAAAGGGAAGCAGGCAATATGGATGCTGCGTGTCCTTTTTTCTCGATTGGGGGGTGGAACGTGGCTATTTGAACCCATGGGATTACAGGCTTTCAGGGTGTGAAAGCCTCCCTAGTAGAGGATTGCAGCCCCCCTGTCCAACGTCATTGCACAGACATGGTGTTGTGCTACGAACACACCCAATCAGATCTGCGGTGAAGGCGGAGGTCGCAGAATGAACGGCCGCCCTCTGTGGAGGCCCAGCCAGAAGGTCGAACACATGGCTTTTGCAGTTACTTGCTCCTCGCAGAAGTCTACACAAAGAAGGCTCACAGTGATTCAGTCCTGCTATTTATGGTGCCCCGGTGCATGCTGGGAACTAAGATGTAGAAGTGTGGTAATCATAAAGCTAGCTCAATCACAGCTGTTTCGTTGGACACTAGGTGAACAGGCAGTGATTTACCCAGGAACAGGGCCTCTCTTTCAGCATACATAAACCTGCTGAAAGAATCTTTGACGACTCACAAGAGTCACAAGGCCTAGATGAGGTAGATCACTGTGAATATCGCTGCGAGTTATTACTGAATTAATTGAGAGTGTGTTATATTTGCCTAACTTCATTATCAGATATGCAGTAGGTAGAGAAGATTCCAAGATCTCAGTACAGATCTACAATCAACAGAAAAGGTAATGTAAGGAGAAAGAGTTGGTATTTTGCTTAGTTTGGAAAGAAATGGAGAAGGACACAATCCCTAGAGAGAGCATAAAACCACTGCTTAATACAACCAAGTCTTGAATAGAAAATGAAGAAATTATGGTGAAAGAAGCAGAATGACTGATTTCTTGCCTAGTTTGCTAATGGGGCTGAAGATTTAAATGGTTTGATGATGGACTGGGAGACAGTCGAGTTTTCAGCTTAGACTCTCAAACCACAGAGATGCAGAATTTTGGACAAGCTACAGCTCTGGAAAAAATTAAGAGACCACTCTATATCTGCATTTTAAAATCCTGGTTAATCCTGGCTCTGCGGGCAGAGGCTACACTGCAAGGCAGGCTGCTTACAGGCTCAGAGCAGTACACAAGAACAATGTTAAGCAGGAGAAACTGGGAACGACCAGGAACCAGGCAGGTAAAGGGCAGGAGCAACTTTTCAATGGCCGAGATGACTGTCAACTTATCTGACAGTTCCTCATGAATCGGAAGATGACCTCAACTGACCTTCAAAAAAAAAGGAAAACATTAAGTGGTGTGACATGCACTGCTAGGACAGTTCAGAACAGGCTCCTAGAAGCAGACTCCTAGAAAGACCCATAAAGCAAGGAAGAAGCCCTTCATTAATGAGAAACAGGGAAGAGTCAGGCTGGAGTTTGCTGCAAAAATGTATAGGTTGCACAAGCATATACCTATAAATTGAGAAATGAGTGAAACTATAACTTTTGCTGTGGTCTCAATTTTTTCCAGAGCTGCATATCATAGTGTATCACTGGCGGCCGAAATGCCAGCAAGCAAAGGCGATCACAACAGCTCTCATGTGTCAGGAGACCCGTGAGAACCTCAAGACCGGGGCCCCCTATTGGCTGATGCTGGCATTAGGTACTGGTAGGTAAGCACATCGACTCGGGGAAAGTGTGAGAACTGGCACAAAATGCTTCAGATTCATCTAATCATTTCTGTTCAGAAATGTCAAAAAAAATCCACAATAATAAAAGATATTTCTTACTATTTTTTCCAACCTATCAATTATGCATTATTTCTTACAAAAACTGCACGAACATTATTTAGCGCATGAAGGGTCCCTGTGGATGTGGGTTTTTGGGATGACCTCTCAGTCAGCCAATAATGAAGCAGTGGTTCACAACTTCAGTCCTAGGCCCCCTGTGATTGGCTGGCTGAGAGGTCATCCCAAAAACACACACCCACACCGGCCCTCCATCGATCAGGCTCTCCACCCCTGATTTACAGAAATGCTTCAGCTAAATTATCAGCTAATATCACCCTCAGTTTGGTCATCGAAGCCTGCACTAAACAGTACCAAAATAAAGGCTAAAAAAAGTTCAAGGACATTCGTAACAAAATCCCACAAAGGCGGAAACCTGCTGAGGAAATGAATGTGAGGTCCCCACTCAGGGGTCAGCTGGTACTCCCATATCTCAAAACCATTTAAGATAATGACTTGAAATTTTAATGTATTATATGGAATCAAAATAAAACACTGACTTTTAAAATCCCCCGCGACCCAGTAGGATAAGCGGGTTGGACAATGGATGGATGGATGGATGGACTTTTAAAATCAAACTTATTTTTCAATTTTTACCTGATGGATTGTACTGATGCGATAAGGGCCAACAGCTCTGTACTCAGTGCAAAAGCTGGATTGTGAGACGACCAGGAAGTCCCTGCAGAGATTTCATGCAACAGAGGATGCAGCTTAACGGCCAGACTTCATATAACAGAAAGGTCCATATCTCAAATGTAAAATGCAATGTGATTTAATTGATTAATTAGTCAGCACATCATTCATTATACACATTGCATTTCTGGTCAAGGTCTTGTACCGCACTTAATGATTCCACTGGCCAAAGACTGTGAGATGAGAGACAGACATTAGAAAAGTGCCACACTGATCTTTATAAAGACCCATGAGATAGTGAAGACTCAGTCATTTAGAAAGCATTCTGCTTATTGTCAATGTACATGAGTATGTCAGTAATGTCTGTATTAAATATTCACCAGTGTGACAGGTTGAGATAGTTGTGTAAATTATCAACACATGTGAGCTCTCTTCCTCGACTGAACACAACCTATAAAAGAGTCATTCTGCTACAATTTTTATGTCTACACACTTTCAGCTGATCTTGACAAAGCAGTTGCTGATTAGTATGTTTGTCTTGTTGGTCAGGAGTGTAGCTAGAAATTCAGGGGAGGGGGGGGTATGACAATGCAGGACAACTCACAAATTATTCTGAAATATGGGATGATCTTGTAATACAAGTATACATTTTTATGGATTCAAGGGTCCCTGTAAAGTGCTGGGCCCCCTGAATCTGCCAGGGTATCCATGCCCCCACCGTGCCCCTGTAAAGCACTGGGCCCCTTGAATCTGCCAGGGTATCCATGCCCCCACCGTGCCCCTGCAAAGCGCTGGGCCCCCTGAATCTGCCAGGGTATCCATGCCCCTACAAAGCACTGGGCCCCCTGAATCTGCCAGGGTATCCATGCCCCCACCGTGCCCCTGTAAAGCGCTGGGCCCCCTGAATCTGCCAGGGTATCCATGCCCCCACTGTGCCCCTTGTCACAGGAAGCAAAGTACACAGTTTTACACAATGTGAGCAATTTACACACAACAATTCACCTAAAACATTTAAAAATTGCAGGCAAAAACCAGAGTCCCCAGAGGAAACCCATACAAGCACAGCAAAACCTGGAGGCATGTATCCACGGTCTATACACAAAGTCTCAATCTAGCTTTACAGTAACAAAAGGATTAACTAATTAACCGCAGAATAAAAATTCATATAAAGCTTAAACACACACTCGATGACCTGTGTCCACTCATAAAGCATGCTGACGAAAACAATACCTTCCCAAATACATCACATGAGCTTTAAAGCATTAAACAATCTTGGTGGAAAGACAGGGGTCGAATGGCAATGGCTGCGTGCTTGCCAAGCATCCAGCAAAATCTATGCTGCAGTGCTTCATTTGTTAAGCTAAGCCTCAGCTGTCAGCCTTATGAGCCAAGGGCCCAAAACCCCGAACACAAGTCCATTACCTCCGGGAAGGTAAGAGAAATGCAGCATTTTCTCTGGGACAGGATTGCCAGAACAGCCGTTTGCTTCACGTTGTCCACAAACACAGTGATTTGGTCACGCCTCACATTACATCTGGTTTAAATGAAATGCTGTGAAACAATCCTTTGAAAAGAAAATGTGATCACGTAACTCCGAACTCCCAGGGAGCTGCAGAAAAGCCGCGAAAGATTCCAGCAGGCATCAGCCGTTATGTATCACATTACGTATCTGTCACAGTTCTGCTGACTTATTCACAGCATAGAGATGCTTGTTATAATACTCTGGCGACATCAAAAAAGTTCAGACTCTCATCGGTATCAAAGTGCATCTGTTCTTCTGCTCCATATAAACACATATTCGAGATAAGTTCAAAAATTGATTATTTTATTTTAACGTAAAAAGATACGAATAAAAGAATCGACATAAAGTGGATCTGAACATACCCATAAAGATTCACACGTGGTGCATCGCAAAGGTCATATAACGACTGATTTTAAAACGCTGACAGCGCAACGCTCAACTTTCTTTGGTTCCCTGGGAATTTAAAAAGAGGCGAAAATTCTGAAATTATAAATTGCAAGCAAAACCCGAAACCGTTACGTATAAGTATAGCGACAGAGAATGCGTGGAAATGCATACGCACCATCCCGTGTACTAACCAGAAATTTAATAGATGTAATTAATTAATTAATTAATTAATTATTACAGTAACACACTCGACATGAGGGGGGTATGTAAAATATGAATGCACTAATCGCAAACACACCACACATATTTGGACTAACTAAACATACACAAGGCAAATTATCAGGGAAATGATCAAACCTCGCTGCGAGGATGAGTTTCAGGCTGACGTCACCGACCCCGGGCTGGTACCGGCACAAATAATAAATAAATAAATAAAAAAACTACAAATAATCATATTTCTAACCATAATAATCAGCTGATAGAAACGAATCATACAATATTATGGAATACAACCACAGATATTTATTTATTATTGCGAAAACAGCGCAAGAGATTTCGATAAAAATACAGAACAATAGAAGAAAATGAACTAACCTCCTGAATTCTTATATACAGCCTGAATCAAGCATAAAAATCCTAGTTATCTTAGTCATCTATCCACTTCTTTTTTATTGTTGGAAAACTTGGCTGCAAGCCAATGTTAACGTCATCGAAAGGCGTCATTCCCCATACACTGTAATACGCATGCGCCGATGATTTCAAACTTAACGGCGGTTTGAAGACGCTTCGGAAGAAAGCAGTGGATATACAACGTGAAGTAAAAGTGAAGAAATATGTCGAGTACTCTGAAAGGAATAACTCTTAAGGGGAGTGCTGAACTTGTAGCCGAATTTTTCTGTGAGTATGTTAGCAATCCGGTGTGCATTTATTTTAAACGGCTGGGCGATTTTTAAGAGGAGTGGGCCATGGCACAGGGCATGGGGCTGAGTGTTAGACTCAATCTATAACTCTAGATTTGAAGTTAAGTTTTAAGATTTTTTTTTTTAATACGAGACCTGGCCTACATGCACCTTTAAGTTCCAGTCATGATGAAATTACAATCATATGGTTACTTTTTCGCTGTGGTTTATACATGTTTGAGTTGGTAGTAGCTACTGCCATCTAGTGTTACAACAGCAAATCGCCAGAATCAAAACACCCCTGTAGGATACATTTTAGCAGCGGAGCGAAAGATCAGAATTAAACTTGACAACGACGTGGCTGTAAGTGATGAAAATGGTCAGCATTATTAATGACCTCGACGCTGATGTACATCGTGTGTGAAGCTGACGTCCCCCAACCTTGCACGGGTACCCCAGTTTCCTCCATGAATAAGTCCGTGAATGAATTAGTATCTCTAAATTGCTGACAATGTGGCCATATCTGGGCCCTGAGATGTACTGGCGTCTCGTTCAGCGTGTCCCCTGCCTTGTACCCTCTGCGGCTGGGGATATACCCTAGGCCAGGGGTGTTCAGTCTTATCTGCAAAGGGCCGGTGTGTATGCTGGTTTTTGCTGCAACTCTCTAATTAGATTACAAATTAGACGACTGATTGGCTGAAGAGACCACACACCTGGGATTGAACAGCTGACCTACAGGTTATCCCTGCATACACACCGGCCCTTTGTGGATAAGATTTGCCACCCCTGCCTTAGGCCCTTCCCTGACCCTGTACTGGTTAATGGGTTGTAAGATCAATTAATACAATCTGTACGTTTTTAAACCTTTGTATTTTTTTCAGGTTATATTGAATGAATTTATTGTGCCTTATGTTTCGGTAAAAACAACTTGGTCTGTCCCGTTGTGTACTTGTTTCTCTTATGTGTGTATATATAATCAGAATCTTCATAATTCTCCAAGTATAGATGGAATTCCTCTTTGTGCAGGTGTCAACATAATGCCAATATAAGTTTAAAAGAAGATGTACAAAATGCAAGATGAAAGATGTACAAATGATATAGAACCACATAGACTATGCATAAAAAACTGCTAATGAAAGGATGTGCAATGTAAGTGTATAAAAAAGTATACATATCAGCGATGCAAACTTGCAGTAGTGGAACTGGGACAGATTCTTACTCAGAGGGGTTAGAGCATGGTATGGGATGGACAGCAGTACTTGGTGTAGCAGAGGGATATCAGAAGCATTCTTGTTTAGAGGTATGATGGCCTGGGGAGGTGGCGCTTAGTCTGCTTCTTTAGGGCTCTCACTCTTGGTCTCCGCTGAGATGGGAGACGCTGGGAAGAGACATTTAGCCGGGTGTAAGGGGTCAGCCATGATTTCCCCACCCTCTTCATCCTGTATGAGTAGAGGTCTTTGGTGGCGGAGAGCCTGCAGCTGATGGTTTTCTTTGCACATTGCAACATTCGCTTGGTGTGTGAAGAGGCTGAGTCGAACCAAATGACGATGGAATATGTGATGATGGATTCTGCTATGGCAGTGTAGATCTGGACCAGCAGTGCTTGACACAACTCAAGTTTCTTGAGTTGTTGCAAGAAATTCAAGTACTGCTGGGCCTTCTTTATAACCGCAGTACTGTGCCTGTCCCATCCAAGATCCTGCTGCATGTTAGTGGCCATGAGTTTGTCAGACTCTGTTCTGCTGAGAATGTAGCAGTCTGTCTGCAGTGGAGGCAGTGTGGGGGGTTTCTTCCCCAGATTCAGTGATCAGCTCCACAGTCATGCATGTGTTTAGCTCCAGGTTGTTAGCTCCACACCATAATATCAGTCACTTCCTCCCGGTACATAGACTTGTTGTTTGAGATGAGATCGACCACAGTGGTGTCATCTGCACACTTAATGAATTTTAATGAGTCACACACAGATGTGCAGTCATTGGTGAAAAACAGTGTTTCCCAGTCCAGTCCTTGGGATTCCACAGAAAGGCAAAGTTTTTGGACTATCTCTGGCAGCTCGGAGGGAGTAAAAACATGGACTGGCTGTGGGTCCCCAAGGAGCAGACTGGTAAATACTGGTGTAGAGCTTAGAGCAGGGAAGAGAGCACACAGCTCTGTGGAGCACAGATGCTGAGCAAAAGGGGCCAGAAGCCTGGTCAACAACCCTGACATACTGTTGTCTCTTGGACATAAAGTTGTGGATCCAGTTGGGCTGGGCAATTTTAAATTCAATTGTGATTTTGGCTTCCAACGATTATCAAAAGAAAATGAGAGAAAACAATAATTGTGCCACGTTTTGTTTTGCAATGACGCTCCCTTTTTGTCTTGTCATAAGATCAGGGCACCCCTTTCCAGCCAAGTTTTGTTTCTTAGTTGAATTATATTTGGGGCTAATGGAAATGTACTGTTAAAAAGACAATATATATTTTATATAGTTCATTTAATCAATTAATGCATGAGATTTCCAAAGTCAGTGAGTAGTTATGATCTCAGTATTGACCAAAATAATCATGATTATGATTTTTGCCATAATTAAGCAGCCCTAGGATTCAGTAGCAAACAGATGGGGGGCATTGAGCTTACATACCTTACTTAAGATGAATAAATATGGAGACCTGGGATACTTTTTGTAAATGCTTTCTCCTTTTCTGCAGCTTTTGGTATCAACAGTATTTTGTACCAGCGAGGGATCTACCCCCCCGAGACCTTTACTAGAGTGACCCAGTATGACATGAGCCTTTACCTCACCGTTGACCCCAATTTGAAAACCTACCTGAACGACGTGGTGACTCAGCTCAAAGGTATCACATCCTCCTTATGCGGCTGCTCGCAAGCACGTGGTGCTGGGAGGGGATGGATTTATCTTCTGGGAACTTTTATGTTCTTCTGCAGGGTGGCTGTTTGACTGCACAGTGCAGAAGCTGGTGCTGGTGATCACGTGCCTGGAAACCAACGAGGTGCTGGAGCGGTGGCAGTTCGATATCGAGTGTGATAAGACCATCACAGGGAGCAGGTAGTGGCCATCATCGTGAGCCACCCACACTTAAGAATGTTGCGTCCTGTAATGGGTGTCCCTGCCTTCTGCTTCCTGGGACAAACTCTAAGCCAGGGGTCTCCACCTCTGGTCTTGGAGACCTACTATCCAGTAGGTTTTCTATTCTACCTGCTTCTGATGAGCCACACCTGTTGCTGGTATTTACCTCAGAACAGGGGTGGCTCATCAGAAGCCAGGTATGATAGAAAACCGGTTCTGGGGAGCTACTGTCCAGTAGGAGTTCAAGACCCCTGCTCTAAGCTATTGTAGAAAATGGGTGGATCTTGTTGGAGACATTAAAAGAAGTCTTTGTTTTGCCTGACAGTGGCACCAGGGAGAAGTCAATCAAGGCAATTCAGGAGGAGATCCGCTCTGTTATCAGACAGATTACTGCCACAGTGACATTCTTGCCCCTGCTGGAGACTGCGTGTAAGTGCGGTATCTCATTACTCAATACTGGCCCTTTTTCTGACTGATTACACACCAACCTGGAAGCGTGACCACTCCCACTCACCTCCCGCTGTGCTGTCTGACCCCCACCAGGTTCATTCGACCTCCTCATCTACACGGACAAGGACCAGGTGGTGCCTGAGAAGTGGGAGGAGTCAGGCCCCAAGATGATCGCCGACTCGGAGGAGGTGCGGCTGCGCACCTTCACCACCACCATCCACAAGGTCAGCAGCATGGTGGCCTACAAGAGGACCGACTGCATCTAGGCGGCCTGCCGCTGCCCAGCCCTGTATATAACACCTTCCCTCCCAAATCAAACTGCCTGTCCTGTGGCATCCATCCTCTTTCATTTTCCTGTCCTCTCCTCTCCACTAGAGTGTTTCTCTAGTTCTTCCCAGCACCCTACTCTGTGTAAATAGTGTCATTTCACCTGAATACCAAGAACCTTGTATTTGTTCTCACCTGTTTTAGAATCGAACGTCCTCTGTATTGTATTTTTAAGAAGCACGTCTGGATTAAATGTAACTCCGTGAATCTGGTCCCTTGGTGGTGTGTGGTGTGTGGTGTAAACTTGCAGATTGAAATGTACTTTTCTGCTGCATTTACAGAAGACTGCCACAAGGTGGCAGAAAAACACAACTTCTGCATTCTCATAAGGCCCAAAGTGTCAAACTTCATACTAAACTGTTTAAAATTTTATGGTATTGAGGATAATGGTGCTTGTTCAAACTAATTAATGGGCAGACATTCAGAAAGTTTCTGATGGACTTGTAGCAGCCACAAAATATGCAAAAAAGATACTCCAATATCTGATTATACCATCAAAGAACAATGTGTTTATTTTCACATACTATATGACAGTCTTTGGCCTCAATTTAATCTGCATTTCAATACCTAATCAAAATTATCTTAGGCATAGGCAGGCAACCATGCACAATTTAGTGGCTACTGCATTATGGGGTAATACCTGAGCCTTATCACTTATGAAAGAGTACCGTGTATCAGAAGGGTGTTGGGGAAAAGCAAGTTAACTTCTACCACGGGTTAAAGCAGGGGTGGCCAAAGGGCCGGTGTGTGTGCAGGTTTTTGGGGTCAGCTGTTCAAACCCAGGTGTGAGGACTCTTCAGCCAATCGCTCCTCTATTAATCCGCCATACACAATGGCCCTTGGATAAGATTGGCCGCCGCTGGGTTAAATTTTTCGCTCTCATGCTACAGGGTAACCAGATGATATGGCACAGTTTCAGTAGGATAGCACTTAGTTCTGTTACTCAAGAATTATCAGTGTCGTCCCCTAAAATGGTAAGACTGGCAGGGCTAGACATAAGGATTTAGGAGGGCACAGCCACTTTGGCCTTGGCTATTCATATTTTTTCTAGGGCACAAGGCCAAAATCTGGAAATTTCATAGGACACCTCGGGCCTTGTGGAGGAATTTTATTTCCATAAAGGATGCATTTTTTTATTTTCAAAAAAGCAGAAACTTTCCAAAAAGGCATTGGGCCAATACTGA